GATATTGATCAGTTTTCATGGATTTTTACCATAAACCAAAGTCAGAGCTGTAAAGTCAAGAAATTGGGAATAGTTCTTGGTATCTTTTTTACTTTTGAGCCACATAAGAAGTGTGCCACCAGAACTGCCCTCTGTCATTTAGGTGACATAGCTGAGATACATCCCATTTCATCCAATTCAGACACTGTTCATGCCTTCGTAATATCCAAAATCTCACCTGCAATGAGCTTTTCTCTGGCCTAACAGTAACAGTTCAATAACGGGTCCAAAATGTAGCTGCCTGGGTCTTTATAAGACATTGCAAGTTTGATCATATAACGCCTGTCATGAAGTTTACAAGGCTTTAAATTGGCCGGCTCCTTTCTACAGTACATCTCCAGTCTTATTACTCCATGTACTCCATCATGCCATTTATGTTCTCTTGATGCTGGTAATTTAAGTGTTCCTAGACTTAACAAAAAATCTTACAGGAGTAGAGCCATTGCTTTTGAGCTTCCCTTCTTTGGAATAAAGTGAATTAAAGTCTCTAGGCAACATTGAGAGGCAGGTGGAGATTTTTAATTGTAAGCATAAAACCTACTTTTTCCCCGATGCTCTGGCCTTTCCAGTTTCAAATTGTTTAAACAATTCTACTTTGATATCTATGTACCTCAATTCTGTTCTGTTGCTTTAGAAACTTCTTTCTTTTTTTTTTTCTTGACCTCAGTGCTGTTGTTACATCGACATTCTGATCTGTATGGTTGAGATACTGTGCAAGAGTGTACTTTTTTATTGCATTGTTGTTGTATTTTAACCTGTAAAGTGTGCAGAGAAAAGTGGGTGAAGCTTGCCTCTAGTGAACTGGTGGCCAGTTTAATGCACCAGTTCAACCAACTGAAATCCAGATCATCACATTTTGAAACACAGTTTGACCAGGATGTTAGATGCTGTAGTTGTTTGCAGCTTTTTGCTGCAGTCCTCTATCTACAACCAGACTGCAGACTACTTCTAGCTATTCTCTCAAACCCTCAAAGGAAGAGTTGTAATAGAATTTCACTTTGCAGAAAACATTAGGTGAACGAATTAAACCTCTATGAAAAAAGACTTCAGTTTTGCAACAATATCAAAGCAGTATTGACATTTTTAGCTATCGGGACAACACATTACTCTTTTCAAGTGCAGTGGCAGTATGTGAACCCCTTGGGATCACCAGGTTTTCTGCAATGATTGCTCATAAAATGTGATCTGAGTATTGTACAATATAGACAAACACTATCACTCAAACAATTATAATCTTTTGTGTCTTTATTGAACACAGCCATTACATATTCACGTAGCTGGTGAAAAAAGTAAGTGAATCCTTTGATTTAATAACTGGTCGGCACCAATAACCTCAAACAAGCACTTCCGGTAGCTGCTGATCAGATCTGCCCATTGCTCAGGAGGAATTCTGGACAGTTCTTCTTTAAAGAACTGTTTCAGCTCAGCTGTATTCTTAGGATATCTGGTGTGAGCGGCTCCCTTCAGGTCAGTCCACAGCATCTCTAGTAGATTAAGGTCTGGGCTCTCACTGGGCCACTCCAACGGCTGGATTTTCTTTGTTTGAAGTCATGCTTTAGTAGATTCACTTTGATGTTTAGGGTCATTGTCCTGCTGCATCACCCAGCTGCTACTGAGCTTTAACTTGCAGACAGCTACCCTGACATTATCCTATAAGATACCTGAAAAACTTAAAAAAAACAACAACCCAGGTTTGATAACTCCTGAGTCTAGTTAGGTTTTGTTGATGTAAGTGGCTGAGGGGTTCACTTGCTTTTACCAGCCTACACTGTGAATGTATGAATAATGTTTTCAAAATGAATAAGAAATATACAATGGCTTTTGTGGTACTAGTTAAAATAGATTGTGTTTGTTCATATTGTAACTTGGATGAAGATCTGACATATTAATACATAAATGGAGATAATTCCAAAGGGTTCACTTGCCACTGTATGTCCTCATTATTATACAGCAATCACCCATAAGTTTATTTCAGTTATACAACGCCTGCAGGCCTTTGTCAAAAAGAAAACCTCAGCACAGAGGCGTCTGAATGTGTTTACAAGCATATAGACATCTAGCTATTGCAAACTTTCCCCACCCATCCCTATTCTGAACAGATTCCAATAGAAAGAAAGAAGAGCTGACCATTATACCGATGGCAAATTGCTGTGAAGTGCACTCTAAAGAAAAATGAAGTCTCACTTCCTGCCAAATGTATTGCCACCAGCAGAAAGTACCCATAACCCAGTGTCCATGCCACATTAACACCTTTATTATTGCTATAAGCCAGGCATCTTTAAGCTGCAATTTGAGCTTTTCCTAATGCTCATTACTGCCAAAGAAAAGCCTAAATGCACCTGTGTATTTGCCTCAGTCAGACGCTTGTACTGCAGTTTCACTATTTGCAAAAATCCATTAAAAAGAGACTCGCTGCTGCCAACATGAATATAATCCATCAATTTAAACAGTGTATTTTTCCCCAAATTTGACTTTATAACTCAAAAACACTCACAGCTGAGATTGTATCAGCGCCAGTTTCATTCTGTCATTAATGAATGTCAAGAGGCATCTTCTTGTCGGCCTGTTTTTATCCACTTTGGCTCCATTTTCTCTGGATCCACTTGTGTGTGTGTGAAGAGTCGAAATGTAGCCTACTGTTGTTTACTTGTGGACCTATCTGTATGCAATGAAGATACAGTGCATTCAGAAAGTGTTCAGACCCATTCATTTTTTTTTCTTCACATTTTGTTATGTTGCAGCCTTATGCTAAAAAAAAAAAAAAATCCCATCACTGACTCAATACGCCATCACAGAGTGACAAAGTGGAAAAAAAGAATTTTAGAAACTTTTTGCAAATGTATTCAAAATGGAAAACTGAATTTTCACACATTCATCACATTGACATAAGTGATCAGACCCTTTGCTATGACACTTGAAATTGAGGTGCCTCCCATTTCCCCTCATGTTTCTACACTGTGACTAGTCCACCCGTGGTAAATTCAACTGATTGTACATGATTTGGAAAAGCTCCCATCTGTCCATGTAAGGTCTCGTAGCTGACGATGCATATCAGACCAAAAAAGCCATGAGGAGGAAGGAAGTGCCCGCAGAGCTCAGAGACAGGATCATGTCGAGACACAGATCTTGGGAAGGTTACTAAAAATTTCTGCTGCATTGAAGGTTCCTATGAGCACAGTGGCCTCCATTATTATTAAATGGAAGAAGTTTGGAACAACCAGAACTCTTCCTAAAGCTGGCTGCCCGGCCAAGCTGAATAATCAGGGGGCAAGGGTCTTGATAAGAGAGGTGACCAAGGAACTGATGGTCACTCTGGCTGAGCTTCAATGGTCCTGTGTGGAGATGGGAAAAACTTTCAAGAGCCCCAAAGGAAAAGGAACACCCTAAATACAGTAAAACATGAAATGTGTTAACCGGTATCACAAAAGTAGGTTTGAGGTGAGTCTTTCAGCAGGACAGCGATCCAAAGCTCACATCCAGCAGCACAAAAGAATGGTTGAAAAGGAAAAGAAGGACTTTTTTAAACTGGCCAGCAATGAGTCCTCACATAAATGCCATTGATAACCTTTTGGAGAGAGCTGAAAGAGCTTGAACACAGTGTTGGAAGAGTGGCAGAAACTACCTGCAGACAGCTGTAAGAGGCTTCTACATGGCTACATGAAACAGTTAACAGACTGTCATTGTTGCCAAAGGTTCTGCAACCAAATATTCTGGGGTGCTTTTTGTGTTTTGTGTTATTTCATTATTATGCAAGTTTTGTTTTTTTTTTCTCTCTTGTTCAGTAACCTTGGATATCTCATCAAAATATTCTGGTCACAGAATTGGTTCATTTGCATTTATCTCCAAAGATATTCTGAACAGAGGCGCACCGTCAGGAGATGTTGGGGGTCCCCAAGGGGAGTAGGGCCCAGTGATGGGCCCTCATATTGGCACATATTGCAATGGCATCTATAAATTCCCTTAAACCTCCCATAAAAAACACTATACAGTGCACAGCTGGTTCCCCCGAAACTCAAATGTGGCCCCTGATGATGTGTGCTGTAGCTACTGTCTACTCATTGCCTGCATGTCAGGCGCTCAGTGAACATCTGTAAATTGTAGCGTCTGCATTCATGTGTGTGTGTGTTTGTGTGGAAGATTGGAATAATAAGACAGCGTCATTGTCAACAAATACAGTTGCTGTAATTGTGTCAGAAAAACCAAAGTCGTAAAAATGTGTGTGTCATGTAAAAATTTTTGGTGTTTTTGCTCAATGACCTAAACGATTCATTGTTTATCAGTTGGTGATTTATTTTCTATCATCTACAGTAGAATATAATATATGAAGTAACCTATTCACTGTATTCAAATTCATCCTTGAAGCCAATGACTGAAGTGAGTGGAAAAAATGGTAAATTGAAGAAAAAAAAAAAATCCAGAGCTAACTCACATCTGGAGTAAGTAACTAAAAACACTGGAATTGAAAACATAGTTTATCTGTCACTGCCTTGCTGTGTCTCCTCTAGTGATCCCTGCTGAGATTGTGAATGTGAACTTTGGCCTTTATGTTTCAATGCAGAGTAAAATAAGATTTTAAATTACTTGATTACATTTAATATTTGATAATTGGTCACATGGGAAAAAAAGTTCTGCATTTTGTGATGTATTTGGAAACCAGTTGGAGACAGGCCTGCAGTGACCAGACCAGAGTGCATAGAGTAGCAGGTCAGGACTTGAATTAGGCAGTGATGGTTAAAGGTGTAGGTGTTTTCCTTGAAGGAATTCTCAGTGTCAGATGTCGGTGTCAGAAGACATTCATTTTTATGTTTACCTACTGTACAGATGATTAACCCAGGTCAAGAGAGGAATTCTTTGTGCATGTAAATGGTGTAACAGTTGCATCGAGACCACATCCTCAAGGATCCAGAGAACTTGGCGAGGGAAGCAGGAAGCTCATTGCATTGTTCATGTATTCCACGCAGGCTCCATCACCCCCTTCGCCCTCAGCTAATGAACCAAAGTATGAGAAGCGCTGGCTGGATGCCGTCTCCCTGCCCTTGTTGATGGCCAGAGTCTCCAGATACAAAGCTGGCACAGATAAATTAAGGTAAGGGTAATCCAGCATGATATAATTCACCTCTAAGGTGCACAGTTCACTGAGCACAGTTGTTGGCTTAGCAAGCACTTTTCATTAAGGCGGTAGGATGTTAATGCCAATATCTATGCACAGGCATAAACGGCTTAAAAGGTCACCGCAGCTGTGAGGCTGTGGCTCAGAAGGTGTGACTGTGAGAACACTGGTCGAAGTTTAAATGCATTTGATTATTATGCCTTGTCCCTTTTGTATTGATTTTCATGTATACAGTGGCTTCGCAATTATTTTTCTTTTTTCAGTCAGTATTTTCTACAGGTGTATTGTTTAACTGTCTAACATTTGGCAGTCATAACTGACTCACAGCATGCTAATACTCAGGTCTGAATCACATCCAGTTATTCATCACCATGACATCAACCATTTCTATCAGCCATTATGTTGGATTATGAGTGTTTTTGTAAGTTTCCTGTCAGCCTTATTTGAGTGTAGCACAATAATGATGCACCCTGATTGCAGAATTGTTATCAAGTCTATCATAAAAAAAAACCTTAACTTAAAATTCGTAATATATTATATATATTTATGATATATTTATAATCTTGTCTTTATCCAACTTTATAATGATATTTTGGATTTATACTTAAAGTTTGGTACGATGTGTTTAAGGGCTTGTGCCTATGCTCTAAATACCTTTTAGTCGCTGTTTTTGCAAACAGGAACCTCAATGAAGCTTAATCTTTTCTAATTGCCTTTAATTCAAATTGGAAACTCTTCACATTAGCTCTGTTCTCCTTATCATTTCTTGCACTCATGCTCTGGTCGAAGCAGAAGTTTCTTACTCATTAGGGCGTGCCTGGTTGCATAATTAAGAAAACGCAGGTACATAATGATCAATAAATAATGGTAATTGATCTATAAAGTTAATTAAAAATGTTTATAAAACTTGTTTATTGGACACTTCATTGGGTAGTATTGAATTTTAAGCCCTGGATAGCTGCCAAAGATAAGAAAGTTGTTTAAAGATGCTCTAATTATTGGGATGATGAATCCACAGAGGTTGAAGGTGGTGGTCAGTTACAGCACAGCAGCTCTAGTTTGGCAACACTTGAGTCTCAAATATGAAGCCTAAAACTTTTCTTTTTTCCAATCACCAAGTTAGTCAGTAGAATACAAGAGAGAATGGTAGTAATTTATAATAACATTTGCCATTATCACCATTTTGTTCAGCACTTAAAGCTGCAAATGTTTTTCCTCAGAAGAAGACATAATTATATCTATGACTTTAAATCTGGTTTGTGAGTAATATGTGTATTTAACTTTTCAAACAGCAGCCGAGGTTTATATCAGTTAACTTTTGATTTTGACGTACTTGTACTTTACTTTATGCTACTTTATTCTTCTACTCCACTGATTTGACAGTGACTAGTTACTTTACAGTCTAATGTTTTACATCCAACAAAATGTTATCAGATTCTAAAATATGATGCATCATTAAAGACTGACAACCAATGACAGCATTAAAAAACTGCTTAATCAATAATAATGATCCAATAATATGATAATATAACACTGTCAAATGCCATTCTGAGTAATGGTGTATTTGTATTGAATGAATTGCTACTTTTACTTAAGTAAATTATTTGAATACTTCCTCCACCAATGAATATGATGCAATACTGTGGGAATTTCCACTGTATGTAATATAATAATGCAATTAAATATAGTTTTTTTGAAAAAAAATACATTGACTCAATAGGTCAGCATGACTATTGCATGGTATATATACAGTATATATATATATGTATGAAAAGATTTATTTAAATGTTTGACATATTCATGAGTCACAGCAGAAGGTGCAATTAAATGTGTCTATCTTCTCCTTAGTCCTAAATTAAACACTGGCTCTTTGCTCTGAGTCATTCACTCATTAAAACACCAACATGTGAAAGAATCACTAACTGGTTTAAATGAATGAGGAAAAGCCCAATATCACAGTGTCAAAAATCATGTAAATGTATTTTTTTTTAAGTGTAATAAATTTAGAGTAAATTAGAATTACTATTGCATATAGCTTCATAACAATCCTACATATTGTTGAATAATCATAAAATTAAATATTGCAATATGAAGTAGAATTGAAATATGTATCTTTAACAGAACATAAGTAAATATACTTATTTGTCTACTAATGTATCACTGCACCTCACCTCTCCACAGTCTGCTGAATGTTCACATACTGTAAAGAAATGCTTTTCATGGCTTTATTTAGCCGAAGCAACAATCCTGCAATATAAATTCTGTCAGATGTTTAGTCCAATCACCAGTTTAATGACTGCTAAGTGTGGGTGAAATATTGAAGAAATATATTGAGGAGATTTGGAGCTTAGTCACACTAAACATAATAACCCAGTGCTGAATCAGGAATAGCAGGTTTCAGTCAATAAGGAGCCCTGCAGGCAGAGAGCACATCAATATCAGAGTTTACTCTGCAAAACATGGCTGACATGGGTTTATCAGAATGCACAAATACAGATCGGATCAATGCGGATGGTAACAGGGGTAAACAGATGAGAATCTCTGACTTGATCTCAAAGCAATATGGTCATATTAACGTTTGTTAGGTCAGATAATTTACAATAACACTTTTCTGTATTAAATCTATTTTGGTTATGATCGGTGACTAAAAATATATAATTTCTAATTTACAATGCACAATGGCTTCATTAGTTACAAATGGCAACTCAGGGTTGATGTGCCTTTGAATAAAACTGAAAATTCAAGTTTTTCTTTTATAACTGCCTTTCCCAGAACGCAGGTTAATAACAATTGATGAAATGTACTTTTATGAAATCATGAAATATGCATTAAAGCTCCTAAAATGATCATAATAGCCATAGCATGTCAGTAAGGTCTGATCTGTAAACACAAATGGCCAAAATATTATTCATACCTTTTAATAATTACAAATTGGATGTGGATTTTATTTCTTAAGTAAATGGAGCAAGTCGAGTGATAATACCCAGTTAATCTGGTTTTTATTTGATCTAGAAATCAGGGTACTACTTTCTAATGAGGCACAATTTAGTAAGGGTTTATAAGAAGTAATTAATGGTTAATGAATCCTTTACTAATCCTTTATAAGCCATTAATAAGAACAACTTTCAGGTTGCTTTCAGGTTGAAAATCCTCCTCCAGACTGACACTTTTCTTGTCTGATTTCTTGTGTAAATAAAAACCAGATTAACTGAGTATTAGCTGACACAAAGCTGATACACAAGTCTGGATCACCTCCAGGTATTCCACCACGCCAGCATTTACCATCTGTGTCAACCATTCAGTTGGATTAGGAATGCTTTTGTAATTTTTGTCAGTTGTTTCCTGTCAGTTGTATTTGTGTGTAGCAAATTAATGACACACCCTGATTGCACAATTGTCATCAAATCTGACAAGAAGAGAATCTCTTTACAAAATTAGCACATTTAATCTGGTCTTAATCCAACTGTACCATAATAGTTTGGATTTAAAGCATACCGGTATTCATACTGAAAGTTGCAGTTTGGCAAGTGCTTGTGTCTATGCTCTTAATGCCTTTGAGGTGCTGTTTTTGCAAAAAATGACTTTAATGAAACCTTTTTTCTAATTGCTTTTAATTCAAATTGGAAATTATTCACCTGAAGTCTGCCATCATTTCTTGCACTCATGCTGTAGTCAAAACAGAAGTCTGCATTTAGGGTGTCTCTGGTTGCATAAATCAAAAAATCAGGTACATATAATCAATGAATCTCCTCTCTACACTTAATTAAAAATGTTTATTAAATTTGTTTATTGGACACCTCATTGGGCAGCTGCCAGAGATAAGAAACTTGTATAAAGAATGATTTGGATGATGAATACACAGAGCTTGAAGGTGGTGGTCAGTTACTGCACAGCAGCTCTAGTTCAGCACCACCCGAGTTGGGTTAATTTTTATCAAATATGAAACCTAAATTTTTCCCAAGGCTGCTGAAATGTAACCCGTAGTTACACTTAAACATCAATCATCAAGTTAGCCAGTAGCATACATGCTGGATCTTTAATAATGGCAGTAATTAGGATTATTATCTATTATTATTTAGATAATTTATTAGGCAGTGAAATCAGAATGGTATTCCCAATATTACATAATATTATAAAATATTTTTTCTCAAATTGGTTTATAAGAAACCTTGAAGAAAATTCATGTTCACAAACATTTTATGCTCCTGCTTGAATCTATCACCTGGATCTCAACTTCAAGTCTCCCTGAAAAACTGAGAGATGTGTTTTCCTTACTGTTACTGTGATGTCTGAGCTTCACCGTGCAGAATACGTGTGGAGTTTGGAACTGGAAGGCTGTGTTTTTTTTTGTTTTTTTTTACACTCATCTGCTGAAGGACGGAAAGATTCTCTGTGCTCACGTTTAAGTGGCGTACCTTCACGCAGGGTTTTGTGACGCAGCTAGTTTGGAGGAAATTGTGTTCCATTCTAACTAACACAAGTGTGATGTGGAATCCTTCTTTTTGTAAAAATTAAAAAATAAATAAATAAATAAAAAGCCAGACCAGACCCAAATGATTACTCCAACTATAGTATTTGGTTTAAAACATGTCTGGAGTGAATCTTTAAATTGAGGTCCCAACCATTTCCAATCAGCATTATAAAGGACAACAAACTGGTGTTGACATTAAACATCATCATCTGAAGTTTTGTTACAGTTGCAATATAAGTAAGTACAGCTCAAATTTGGGTCTGGGTTTGGATAGGTTAGAGCAGCTTTGTGTGTATTTGTTATGTATTTTATGTGTTTTTGTGGATTGCTGGAATGTCAAAAGGTTAAATCATCAGTTACCAGAGTACTGACATACTGCATACAGGAAGCACACCTATTAATCCACATATAAGCACCTATTAATGTGTTCCTTGTTGAAGGTGTTGAGGTCGGCCAGTACTCCTCGTTCCAGCAGGAGGAGCTCCCGTTAGTGTTGAAGGGTTGGTGTTGTTGACTCGCATGTTCTCATCTAATGTTGATGTGGACTCTTGTTGTTGTTGTTGTTGTTGTTGTATCTGGAAGGTTATACAATGTTCTGGCGATCCTTGCTAGTACATATACTCCCAGTTGGGGTGACAGAAATATTTTCTCATAGTTTTCCTCTCGATTGCCCAATTTAAATCCACTCCATGACGGGAATTGGGGAATTGTCCTTGTGTTTGTCTGAGTCTGAAAACAAGGCCACATGGATAGCTGACAGTGAAGAAGCAGAGAGCAGGCCTTATTTCTTTCCTTTGTACACATTTTATTGGCTACACTAAGGTGTCAGAGTAGCTACTCAGTGAGGTTTTCTCAGCCTTTTGTTTAACCTGTCAAAACAGATATATTTAAAATGGAAGGTACCTTGCAAATTAACGGGGCTTTGCCTGCCACACTCAGAGTTACTGGCTGGTTTCTTATTGAAAAACAAGCAGTCATTTGCATACAGAATACAGTGTTAGCCATCAGTTATATATAAAGTACTTAAAGTTGTAAACCATAAAGTGATAGTTATTTGACGTGGGGTTGTGTGAGGTACTTATCTGTAGGCTAGTAAGTGTATTACCTGCAGTAGATTCGGATCAGCGCGCTGCCAGTTGGTTTGCCTAGGTACACACAACCACACCTACACTTAGCTCTGTCTGACTCAAACAGCTGATCTGTGGAGTAATACAGTGCAGTTCCAAAGGAAAGGGCTGTTTGGCGGCTAGATAAAGCAGTGAAAGTATTCCAAATAAAGTGTAAACATGAAATGATTTTTGGTTTTTTTTCTGTGCGTATTTTTTTAAGTTGCTAAAACACGTTTTTTCTGCTGACCCCGCCCACAGCAGCACATCACCCAGCCTGTGCTTCTCTAAACCAGCAGCATGCTGATTCCAATCTACTGGAGGTAATGCACTGACTATAGATAAGTACCTCACACAACCCCATGTCAAATAACTTGAACTATCACTTCAAGACTTCAGTGTTGGGGTGACCTGATGGCTGAATGGATAGGATGCATGCTGCATGGGCTGAAATGCCCTGAGCAGCGAGTCCCTGGTCCGACTCTTGTTCAGCAGGACCAAGTGATGCATGTCATTCACCTGCTCTCTCCCTTACTTCCTGTCGTTCTCCACTGTCACTATCTAATAAAAAAACAAACTAACTTAAAAAAAAAGTTTTCAGTCTTGGACAAACTCTCCTTGAGCAGCTACTTAGTCAAGAGAAGCAAGAGGTGTATCGGTTTACAGTGCAGTCCTGTTTCCTGGTTTTCCTGTAGCTGCTTCACAATAAAAGCCACATGGAAATGTGAAGCAGCAAGATGTTTGGTTTCCTTTCTCAGAGACTTAATACAGCTCAAGGAGAGTGAACAGTAAACAGTTAGGCTGTTATCATCAGATAAAATTTCACTGAATTATGTGCATGCTTTATTTTCCTGTAAATGTCTCGTGTGCAGAGAGGTAGGCTGAATACATTAGAGGAATAGCGGGCTCTGCTACTACCAATGATAACCACTATATAGAGAAATAATGTAAATATATTGAAAGGCTAACACAGAAAAACTACCAAATATAAGCAGTATCAGAAATTCGGTTTGATTTTGTGACATCTTAAGGATTATAATTTTAATTACAGGGATCATATTATACTTGATGATCTAATTCTGTGTTTCATCTGTGTGTTACTGGTTTGATCAGCCTGATGGATTCAAAGTGAAACTTACATCTTTGCATGTCTTGGTAGAAAATCAAAAGCAAACATATTTCTCTCATTAATTATGCTGAAGACGAAATGCCTCAAATCCAGCCTATTTCACTCACTAATTGGGGGACATTTTCCTCCTTGTTGCCACTCGTACCATCACTAACAGCTGGAGTCCTCTCAAAAACACTTTCCCCTCTCCACCATACATTCTTCATGTGTCTGTGTGTTGACTGGGTGCTATGTCTCTGCTTTGTCTCAGTGGATTTATTACTGCCTAGTCAGCAGGCAGGGCACAATAATTTGTGCCGTTGGGAATGGAGCAGATGTATGAAAGAATCACGCTCCCTAGATCCGATCTCTCTGTGAGGATTTCTGTCCTGCTCAGTGGAGGTGGACGGGCTTTAGCAGCTCCTCCTGACAGGGTTGTGTTCTCCTGACATTGATCCGCCAGCTGTCCGTTCCTTTGATTAATCTCTTGGTTTGGAGCTCTTCATTCATTGCACTTTCATCCCCTCTCGCATTCCCCCCCCATTACTGCACAGTCTCAAAGGTTCTGCATAAATTGAAAGGAATCTAACTGATATACTGTAGACTCTGCGTCATCAGATGCTCACTTTTTCCCTGCAGTAACAGAAGAGATATTTTGACATTACTGGGCTTGCAAGACAAAGCATTTGTACAAATCATAGAATGAAGCTAATTTGAGTCAAGCACACTGACACAGAAAGAATTTGTACTCTTGTTAAATTAAAAAAAAAAAGAAACATTTAAGTTCAGTGAAAATCACCACTGGAGAGTCACTGGGTCAGTACACAGGCAGCGGAACATAAGATTTTAACAAGCTTATTGCAGAAGTCATGCTCACCAGAGGATTTGTTAGGAATGCTGACTTCGTAACATCTAACCTCGAGGAACTGCTGTGTGTATGAGTTGGGGAGAACTGTTTGGCTTAAGGAGCTGTCTTAGAAGATTTCTCTCTTCATACCGTGCATTTGACACCTTCCTATTGTTTCTCTTGTGTTTATCAGGCTTCACCTCACGTACCGCCATAACCTCTCCCTCGCTCCTCATGCAGCGTTTGTGTTCAAGCCTTTAGAAATTTGGGAACTACTTAACCATCACACAAAAACTGCTTCCATGTTTCGTGACAACTGTCTCCGAGGATAGACGTGTCAGCAGCGTGAGAATGCAGTGGAATTAAATGTCAGAAAGTATCACATTTTGCTGATGAGTGCAATCTCTCTTTGGTGACCACATCAACACCCCATCAACAGAGAAATGTAATTGTGTTAGCAAAGCAGTGTTTAACCTCAGGGCGCTCTGAGGGGATGATGTACCCAAAAGATGCCAAAATACAAAATAACTTTGTGCTGTTAAAAAAATAAAATCCTCATTTCTCCCTGTAAATGTTTTGTGAAGGGTAATTTTCTCAGTGTGATCTGTAAGGTGTATTATTTTGACATGTCTTATCCACTTCGGGGATGTCATGCAGAGGGCTCTCTACAGTTGTGTTTGGCTTTTTTAATACATTTTTTTTAAGAAATAGTCAGTTTAAATTATATATATACCTCATATATATCAAAATATTTCAAAAATGGTATTTCATCACTGCTTTATTTTTTAGAGGCCTTCCTTGAAATGCAGTGTAACGAGTTTTGCTGCTAAAGGAAGACTTATAAATATACACTTGTTTACTTTCTTCCAACTACTTTCCTTAATTCCTCCAAATTGAACAACACTACAGGTGGTACGACCCATAGGAGTGTCTCCTGAAAAAGTACCCCTACGACGTCAGGTGTACCGGACCTCGGTTGTCATGGTTACAATATAAACTGCTGAATTCACATGGGAATCGAACCCCTCACTCCTGTATCATATTCCTGTGTTTTTCTGACCCATCCATCCACCACAACCTCATCTTTTCCATTTGCTCCTGTCATAATTACTACGACCACTAGATGTCGCCTAACAACAAAACGTAACAATGGGTCATAAGAACCTGCTGCACAAACCACCTTTTGTCGTTACAATACCTAGCTTGTTTCTTACAGGAGGACAGTCTTGAATATTGATGCCATAAATATAAAGGTACAGCATACTGTTAGCTTAGATTAGCATAAAGACTGGAAACAAGTGGAAAGCAGCTAGCCTGGCTCCCTCCAAAGAAAGTTACAGCTCCCAGCCAAGAAATAGATCAGCACATAACTCCCTGTAAAAGGTTAAATTGTCATTTTTACATTTTGATTCTGGCATGAATTAAACAAATGAGATATAAGATGTTAATTTGTGAGCAACCTTTAGATGTTTTCTCCAGCTGTTTGCCTGTTTCCAGTGCTTATGCTAAGCTAAGCTAACCTGGTGTTAGAATGGGAACTATCAGTCTAACTCTCTTCCAAAGTGTATTTCCCAAAATATCAAACTATTCTTTTCAACTTTTTACTTCAACTACAACTTATAGTCATGTGCACTCTCACATTATGAAACACTCAGGACTTCTATTCATTTCTCCTCTTTAATGAGAGCTATTAGCTTGGCTCTGCCTTTTATCTTGTAGTCATTTAATTTCATTCTAAAAAGAGTTGTAACCTCACCACAAAAAAAAAAATGTGATTAGAGAAATATTGTCACAAATATGACCAGCATTGCTCAGAATATGTAAGGACTCATGATTTGCCTCTGCAGAGCATCTGCTATGGAGATATTTTTATAATTAGGTGTCACGTGACCATCAGGCTCATGAAAGAAGCTCTACTATATATAATGAAGTAATGCAATGTAAGTCCTATAGCTGAAGTATGGCAGAAGGAACGGGGCGCTCCGACTTTTCCTTCAGTCGTCTGTAGTACTTCTAATATCTGACCTCTGCGTTCCTCCAGGTCCAACTGTTTTGAAGTCTTCGCCTTGGATGGAGTCAGCACCAATATTCTTCAATTTTGCACTGCAGCAGAAAGCACAGACTGGCTCCAAGCAATATCTACAAATATCAATGACTTGACACAGGAGAACGTAAGTCCATCTCTAGACATTCAAGGCTTTAGTTGGATCTTCCTGCGAGTCTTTATTGAAACTGAAGGGGAAAAGAAAACCAGCGATTGTCGGCTGTTTGTGATCATGTTAAATATGTGAAGCCTTGAGTGAACTCGAATGACATGTAAGCATGTTTCTTGGCATAACATCATCTAATGCAGTAGATTTTTGTCAGATATTCAAGGTTTTAATTTTTACTTAGAGAATTTGGCCTGTCATATCATCTAATGAAATTAATGCAGCTAATTTAACAAATATAAATGAGCAGAATATTACTTTAAGGAGTCTCAACATTTCAGCTTTTATTATCCACTGAGTAGAGAAAACATTGCAACATGTAATGAATGTATTTTGCCCACTTTTGTTATGTTTCTCCACTCGCACACAGACTACAGTGCAGCATGGTTTTAATAGACCGTTCCTGACGAGCACTCATTGAGTCATAGTGGCACCTCTCCCTCTCTGCTGACAAAAAAAGAGGCTCTCCCATACCTAATTAATGACTGCTAAGTAGTCATTCGGCATGTGCACTTGTCTCTCTCTCATTTCCTCCTATTTCACTTTGATTATCACACTGATGATGCGCTGCATTTTTGGTTAAGGATGAAGATGTACTGTATGCCCGTGCTTGTCGATTGCGCAGCTGCACTTTAAAAAAAAATGTGATTAATTCATGCCTGCATCACCTAATTACGGACGTGGGGTGTGTGATTGCTAAATGGCCAATCAGGATGTAATTGTGTGCCTGCTTTGGAGAGAGCGGAACTTTTGTTTTAATGACCTACAACCTTTAAATAGACTCCGACACCCTTGGGGTCCCTCATGTGTTTTTCATGTGGATGTGTCATCTGGCTCGGGCGGAGGATTATTTGATGTTGTTTGTTTGATGTTCTTTTAGAGGCGCTAAAACAGAAAGAATTGGGCAGCTTGTTAGAGTCTAATAATAATATAGGGATTTCAGGTGACAGTGTACCTTCTGTTTGTAACTGGGGTGAGACAAACAAGAGCAACTACCATGCTGAGTGTGATATGCTGACACACCAGGGGTGCATTCAACATGAAAATGTTTGGCACTGGTTAGCAGCATTTTTCTGGCTGAGTGATAATGTTTCCTTCAAAAGAAAAGTGCATTTTGAAACAGCATTTGAGATATGTTCCTCAGTGGGTGTGTCATACCCTATTTTAGGCCTTTATATATACTTTTGATGGAACAAAATTGGTTAAATTACCAACAAGGCTCCCATTAGAGAAGATAAAATGTATTATTGAGAATTTTAACTGTATATTTCTTTTTAGATTACGTTTAATGGTCCTGTATCGTAAAGCACTTTACAACATCCTCAACACTGTTGATTTCTGCTTCATCGCTAGCTAGCACATCCTGATGGCTGAACTGTCTAAAGCGCATTACATTTTTATGAGTGACATCTTGGCTTGAATCTGACAGGACATTGCAAGCCATCTCCCAAGCTTTTTTTTTGGCTTGCTCTGAATTTAAAGCCTTTAAATTTATATACATACAGTGTCATCTATTATATATTACATGTATACAATATTAAGCTCTACATTATAAGTGAGTAAACGTAATGGCGGTTACTGTGTGGATAAATTCAACGATGCAATTTGTTGCACTTTATCATTAACATCAGTGGTCTCAGTTGTGAAATCTTATCTGAGAAATCTGAGAAAACAAGTAAATGATGAGCAAAACTACCATTATGTGATAATAAATTTCACAGCTTTTTGTAGTCATATACAGTATGTCACTGATTGTTGTTTTGCTTTTATTTTTCTCTTAGATAAAGATCATCAACAAATACTGCGCGTCAGATGATCAGGTATGCCGACACAGGCCTGATGCATCATACCAGCCCAGCACATCTTTTTGGAACCAGACTGATTATTGTCACAAACAGTCACATCACATCACCGCTGACAGTTATAACTGATGCAGTGATAGTAGAGCTACAAAAATGAAACAGTGTGTGCTTCTTTACTCTAAGAGTAAGGAGAGGATATGGTTGGTATATAGATGAAGCACTCATCTAGGTCAGTATTATATCCCTAAGAAAGTGATTCAGCTCTTGATGACCTGTCCTGACCTGGATAGATGTTTGTCAAGTGAAGATGTTGAGGTCTTCAGCAGACGCTAGCTTGTACAATATCATGGTCTTACACATTGATGCCTTCGATTTGTCTCCCCAGATGTCTAGTTAGTGGAGATCCCTGCTCAGGCAAACCCTTCTCTGCAGGAAATGTTTGCCCTCTGCATACAAGTGCAGCTCTTGTAGCAGCTCTGAATCTATGGGGCAAAGTGCCAAATAAATACAATTATTCAAGCCAGTAAACACGTCTTCATCAGTGAAGCATCCACAGGCTTAATTGTGTCATACAGTTCATCACTTTAAGCAAAAGAGCAAAATCACAAGTGAGATGGTATTTTCGGGAAGGAGTGAAGACGGGAAGATTCAGGGGGGAGTGAAGCACATGAAGCAGTAGTACATACAGTGCAGATATGCTGTTTAAAGAAGAGCGGAGAAACATCCCAAGTCAATTTGGTGTGGAGCAAAGGTAAATTGTTGCAGTGCAGCTGCAGACTGCAGTACTACTCTACAGAGGGGAGTCTTTTTAAATTTAAAAGCTGCATCACTGTAGTTCTTGTTTAATTCATTTGTTTTGACAGTGCAGATTGTGCTTTTCAGGTCTGTGTCCTATTGAGCAGAGAACAGATTTTTATTGTGTGTATTTTCCCCCTTTTTTTTTTTTTTTTTTTATCTAATCAAATGGTGAAATTGTCTACATGTCAATCCTCTACATCTGTGCAGATTGTTCACATGGGCTGGGCATGTGAAAGCTCCGAGGGCAGCACTGCTGGTCGAACCGCAGCGTTCAAGTTCCTGGCACTGAGAGGACCATATTTTTATATCTTCAGAAGTCCCCCGGTAATCAGTCTTTTCCTGTCTTTCCTGTGTTGTTCACCTTTCACCTCAAAAGACACAGTGTGATTTCATTTTAAGCTCATTTGAAATGGTTTTGTCCAAAATCTGAAGCATATCACACTGGCCCACATGACTTACACTCAGGTACAAATAATTCATTAGTTCTCTTGATCTGGCTCAACGTAGAAATATGTTCTGGGCTTTTTTTATTATTATTATTTCATTTGTTTTTGAGTTTAAGAAACGTGATGATTTTCTGCTGCTGCTGACCTGCGATTGCCCCCCGCTGTGCTTTCCATTGTTTTCTGTTTTTGAAACAAGTTGGCAGCATCTGCAAAATACTGTATGCTTCAGTTATAATTGAATAAGAGAAGACAGGCGTGCAGTAACTGCTGATGAATTTATATTTGTTGTTGCCATGGCTGTGTGTTAGGCGGCACTGAAACAAGCAATGTATTACTTACTGCAAAATGGTTATTTTCATTTTATTTGCATGTACGGCTGCTAATGCATTTGCAACCAAGTGGCATTTAGGACTTTGGGACTCTTAATATGCTTGAAATTCATTAGGTAATCAGTAAAATTAACTGATCCAGTGTTTGATTAATTGAAAATCTTCCTGTTACCTGCTAATTCTTACCAAGTGTTATGCACACCTTCTTTGAGTCACAGATTGAAAGTGAAAAACCGTCTTGATGTAACATTATCTTCCATTTTAACTACAGTAAAAAGCGCATTATGGAGTTAGAAATTTACAGCCACACTGTGGCCCAGGGAGAGCATGTCGTTCTCCAATCACAGTTGGCAGTTTGATCCCCAGCCCATGTGTTCAAGTGTCTTTGGGCAAGACACTGAACAACAAATTGCTCCAGAAGGTCAGGCCAGCACCTTGTATGGCTGCCGATGGTGTGTGCCTGTGTCAAACAGCTCATCAGCATCAGCAGCTCATCAAGGTGGCCATAGTGACAGTTATTAATGCCCTTGATGATATTCTAGTCCTTAATAAATGGTTTCAACACATGTAAGATACATTTAGGTTTTGTTAAATGTATATATTTACTGCCCTCAAAATTTGGATTGTCTACTGGTAGCTTAAAAAGTCCCCGCCCTGACTGCCAGGAGAGGCGAACAGGATTTTTCCTTTTGTGCTCCGCTTGTTTGCGATATGACATAAGCTCTGTTCTCCCATTAGTATGAAAACCGCCGTTGCCAAAAATGTGACTCTTTTAATCTTCTTCCTTCATTTGGCAAGAGTTTCAGCAGGTTAATCGCAGTTACTCTCTGGCCAAGGTGGGGTGGTATGCACATTTATGAGTTGCTCACTCTGTCTCGGCGTGTCGTCTGTACTGTTGGAGAGCTTTCATCACACGTTAACTCTGTTTGACAACCTATTGTGGCTCACCTTCTCTTTTTAGGAGATTCCCAAGAAGACGCTGGCGTTTGTGTTTTTTCTCTTATAAATTTAACCGGCTGTGACAGGTTTTCAATCATGTTCTGAAGCTGCACAGTGAGGACAAACTTCAACCTGTTTGTGGACTTTGTGGCCTTTTTTTTTTAACACCCAAGTGTTTCTTGTCACACCTTGTGAGGTTGTGTAAACTGTAACATTTTGAGGACCTTTCACGAAGTGTCATTCAAGTAAATAATAGTTCAACAATTTGTGAAATACACTTCAGAGAAGATTGATACCACTGATGTTTATATCGTAAATATGAAGCCACTGCGGTTAGCGTAGCTTTGCTTAGAATATCTATAGCATTAAGACTGGGAACAGGGGAAACTGCTAGCTTAGCATGATAAAAGGAAGTCACCCAGGAGGACGCTGCACCCAGCCAAGATATGGACCAGCATATGACCTCTAATGAAAGCCACAACCTGCCATCGTTATACTTCAATTTTTGTCTGTATTTTACGCTAAGCTAACCAGCTGCTGTCTATAGCTTCATATTTACCATACAGACATGAGAGTCATATCAATCATTTTCTTTCACTCTCGGCATGAAAAGCAAATAAGCAAACTGTTGCCTTTAAGATGAGCCTCAGCCTTTCTTCATGAACAAAGTGACATAGAGCTAAGAGGGTCGGCTGGCTGTTTCTCAACCAGTTGCCTCTGGAGGATTCTGCCAGCCCTGCCCTTTGCCATGCCACTGACACTCTCATTTCATTTGGTGGAAATGAAGTGCTTCATCTGGCCAGGATAATTCGGATGTTTCATTCAACTCGCGTATCTATGCGTAATGTAGGTCACCGCGGATTACGTGCCTGCTGGAGACCAGTGCATTTAATCTGTGGTTCCATCTCCTCCAGTCTGCTACAGTCTCGGTCCAGCACGGCCCCCCGTAGAGGACCCCCTTTCTGTAGCATATTACACGGCTGTCTGTATGGCACATATTGGCAATTCCCTCTCTGCATCGATGTTGTGTGTAAGATTAGAGATGGTCACTCCAGCTGTTTGTTTCCATGGCAGGGACAAGAGTCTGGCCTTGTTTAATCTGAGACTCTCAAACTGGGCTTGTTGATACCATCAAACAGGCCTGTGTGGGGTTGGACTGTCTTTCGTTCTGCTCCGCGTATCACCACAGCAAAGAGAGAACTATCGCTGTGGGAGATCTTTTAACAGCATGGTGGGTGATGTCTGTATTTTCTCTAGGGATCTCAGTTGCCAATGGTTCTGTTGCAAAAGTTTCCAAACTCTTGTTGCATTTATTTGTTCACAAAGATTGGTAATGTAACCACAGTTGCAAGTAATTTGCTTACACTCATTAACACGAGGGAATGCTGTTTAATGAACCATATATGGTCCAAAAGTTGTCTAAATGCTGCAGGAAATGTCATGGATGTTTCCTTTACACAGAACATGCCACAGGCAAAGAATGCAAGAGTTTTTCTAATGCACAGTCGAAGGTCTGTCTGAAGTTGAAGTGAACGAAAAAAAAAGAAGAATTTAAGCCTTTTGTGGTGCTTTAACAAAAAAGAAAATAACTGTAGCCTGAGAGCAGGTGAGACCGGCAGTAAACCTTCCCTGAATGCAGAACAGTTTCAGAAATGAAAATCATTATTTTCCTTGATCAATTTGGTCCGACCAATCATGTCGATGAGGTGTTAGTGAGAGACATCCTCATCCATGATTTTAACAGATCGCTTGAAACGTAATGGATGTATAGGAGAGTCATTAGAATTACTGGATGGAGCTGGTGGGTTGTGAAATGCCAAACCTGCCCTCTGGCTTTTGTTGAAATATTGCTGTAGCCAATAATCCTGAGGTAGAGGGTTTTAATACGGTATGTCCTGGATTGCATTAGGTTAGCATTAATACATGTGCTTTAGTGAAACACCCTACAAAAACAAAATCTACTGAGAAGCCCCATGTCGGTCTCTGTCTTTGTGCGGGGCATGTAAAAATGTGCTCACTGCTCAGTGTAACATGTTGCTCACTTGTTTTCATAGCAATTCATTTGACCTAGGGATATTTGAAGCACCAATCTAATAGTTCCTTTACACCAGAGTAATGACAGTCTGCCAGCGGTGTGAAAGAGTCAAGATGAGTAATGTGACCCAGATCTACAACCCTGCCCTTGTTTTTACTGAGGGTTACTATAGTAAGCTGTGGTCACCCCTTAAAGACCCATATTACTTTATTCCACAAATACATAAAGCATACTGCTGATGATATTCTATATTTTTTTATTGTCAACAAATCTTATTAAAAGATCCAAAGCAATAATGCGTTAGTCTCTCAACACTTCCCCAGCTTTTCACGCCCATTTGTGAATCTGCATAAACAGGTCATGAATATGTGTTTTCATTTTTAAAAAAGGCAGTGTTTTCCCAGAACTTCTGGGCACTGTAGTTTTTAGCCAACATTACTTAAACAGAAGGATATAGCAGTGTTTGTTGGGGGGACTACTTTGAGCTGCGGATTAATACACATTTAGCACATTAGTGTGTATTGTGCAGCACCAAGACAATGTACAGCCTGTGTGTTCATGCTAATGAATGAATGATTGTGTGATTCAGTGATGTGTTTTTTTTGTTGTTTTTTTTTTGTTTTTGGAAAGTTATATTTTATATTGCATAAGTTATATCATTGTCTTGGCATCACATGCTGATGGGAGTAACTCATCGTAGGTTTTGGTCTTTTCATGGGATTTGTGTAATGTAAGAGAAAATAAAGAGCATCATTGAATCTGTGCTTGTTTTGATGACCCTACAAGATGTGGAGATAACATCAGGGCGGGAGTCTAGATATGAAAACCCTATCATGGTTTTGCTGATAAATAATATCAGAGAATCTCTGTGTTGGCTAGCTCAGAGACAAAGAACTGAAACACTGTTGTTTTCTTATTACTGTCAAAACATGTTTGTTTTTAGATAGTGTTTGATGTTAATGTCAATGTGAACCCAACTGTAATCAGCCACTTCTGCATGTATGTGGTGTCATCACTTAATGGATGATAAGAACTGGCTAAATCCAGCCAAATCACTCAAATCTAAGTTTATGGTGTTCAGATTTTTACTATACAAATATTACTACAGAGTTAATATAAACTCTGGTCTTGTTGATTCATATGAAAGACTTTGAGTTGTTGCAGTTTGATTAAGCCACTACATGTGCAGCAGCATCTTTTCATATACACAAGCTACAGCTCGTTTCATTGGCCTTTGTGAAAATGTGAAACATGTTCCCAGTTGTATTCTACAAGTATCGACTACAGCACTTGTATTAGAAGTTGAACCTTTTTGATCGTAGCAAAGTAAAGCAGAAATAATTTTGTCAGCAAAATTTTAGTTAGCATTAAAAAGAACTTCAGCTCTCATGAAAATGTATCAGCATGGCAGCACATGGCAACATCTAATCTGTTATCCAAAAACATCTTCAGGGTTGGAACGAGCTTCAGCTGCTCCACTTGTTTTTTAATAATAAAAACATTAACGACGGCTCTGTTTTAATCAAGTAAGCCATGACAGTGTAAAGTGAGCCATCATGCACGATCCCAGGACCTTGATACTGTAAATGTAATACAGCCCTCAGTAATTTGTTTATTTCTGCCTGTGTTTTTGCTGCTGTGACATCTTCTTCTGTTCTGCTGGCTAAATCTGCAGGGGCCTGGGGCTAATAGCAGTGTTCGTTAAAGGCTGCTGACAGCAGAAGCTTTAAATAAACAATGATATTACATAGTTTTTAATAAAATTACCATCTCTGCCTAGACAGACTGAATGAACTGCATGACATACTGCATCTCAATCCAGCTGTTTTAATGGACATTTTCAGTTTGCACATTAAAAAACCTGAGTGGAAAAATAGTGAAAAACATTTTTTAAACCTTGCTTAGGTGGAAGAGTTGGTGTATTGACAAAATAAAAAAAAAGAAAAGTATGATAGAAACTGACTTATGCAAAAAAAAAAAAAAAATGACATACATGATGCATGTAACATAAATGTCAATAATTGTCTGGAATTTTGATTAAAATTTGCACAAAATGTGAATGGAAACTTGACTGTTAAGATCATGTTACAGGGATGAATTCTTTGTAAACTTATTACAAAGGTCAATGCGAGTTTGAATCATATTTTATTACTTCTGAAACAGAAACCTGGAAGTTGGCTCTCTGAAGTTGAAAAATATATATGTTCTAAATATGTGATAGGGGATCCTCAGATTTTTTTCCTCGAGCTTCTCTCCTGTGCACGTCCTTAATGTTGTTATTACAGTTGCATCTGCACTGTGGATCGGTGTATTTCTGTACTTGTTACACCACTGGGATACCTTAGTCTTAGTGTTTATTTTGTACCTGTGCAGAGTGCAACAGGATAAATCCATTTTGTTCCCTGACAGTGGCAGTCATCCGTGCATTCGCACAACTAAGCTACCTGCCTTACTTTAACTTGCTTTTCGTCTTGAAATGCTGCCTCTTCATCTCACTCTCTTTGATGTTTATTTCTCAGATCAGTGCCGCTGACTGGGGACAAGCTGAAACAACGTATAACCTCTATGAGGTTCTTTTCAAGGTTCACAAGGTATGTTAAGAGCAGGGTGCTGTGATGTGCATCAGGGCTGTTCAAAGTTTGATCACTGCAGTCCTCATCTCAGTATAGATGGCTGTTTTTATTCTTTCTTAGCAGACAGTATAGTGTGTCAGGGAGCCAACTAAGCAAGGCTCTCTTGACCTGGAGTGATATTTCAGATCCACAAGCCAAGATATGTTGAAAGGATTTCATTTAAACTGAGAATCAAGTAATTTACTTTTCCTCCCACAGACTGAATTAAGCATTAAAAGGTGAAGAGACAGCAAAACCTTTTCCTTAACATGTAAAAATGAAGGTTTTGTGTTACAGCTGTGGATGGCGGAGGACTGCTGGCTCCAGGCGAGGCTCTACTTAGGGCTGGAGCATTCACCTGAGCAGCAGGACAATGAGTCTTTGTGCTTCAGCATTCTGGTCGGCCACGGCCAGAGCCACACCTTCGGGGTAGAGCTGGCCACAGACCTCGCTATCTGGGAGAAGTCCTTCCAAAGAGCTGTCTTCTTGGAGGTGCAGCGAATACGAGTGAGTATTTCCACATATGACAATTTTTTTTTTTTTTTTTTTTTTCTCTGTTACTAAAGAGCCTGACATTTTCTGAATGCTGCTTGGATTAAAGGAGTTCTCAAAGCCTCTCACACAACACCTTTTCCCCAACCTCAAAGGGCAGCATGAAGCATTTGATGTTGAAATTAAGACCACGGCGCTTTGTGTGCTTTTAGTTTGGTTTCTCGAAGCCAGAAGGAAGATAAGTGGCATCAACAGCCGTAGATGTCAGCAACAATGTGGGTTCTGCAGAATACAAAGTGTTGCAAAGTCTCAACACTTAACATTATAAGCTATTTATGCCAGAGCTATTGTATAGAATTGCATTAAGTTGAGACTGTAAGTGTTTCTGTTATTGTGTCAAGTCCATTCAATTAACATGACAATACAGTACATGGTAGCTACGCTCATATAAACATTAACTTAGATGAGTGACATGATATTCATAATATACATACAGTATAACAGTACATACATTACACACAACACAAGATACAGACAATGTCAGAGAAAATATGTCGTACTTTAATAATCAGAACTCAAATTCTACGGAAGCTGAGGCATATTCATATTTTTAATCGAACAGAGCTTCGTTTTCTCAAGATAATGGGATAATTGTTCAGTTATCTCGACATAGCGGAATAATAATTTTTTTTATCCGAACAGAGCTTTATTTTACAATATTACAATTATTGTGTGATCTCGCCGTAACAAAGCTCTGTTATCTCAAGATAACGGGATAATTATATGGCCTTTCCCAGCTTCCGTACTTCTCTAAAGATTTGTTTTAAAGAGAGAGAGAGTTTTAAAAGAGAGTTTTAAAATTATAAAAATAAATGAATTAATTAATAAATTAATGAATTAATGAATTAATAAAAACACTTTTTTTTCCTTGAGGGAATGAATTACATTCAAACATTAGCTGCCTATATAGGAGTTTGGTCTAGTTTTGGTCAATATAACCTGCCCTCTTGAAATAGTTAATGTGTCAGTACAAAAAGTTCTATTTTTATACAAATGTATGGGGTATTGTAATTATGATATTTCTGAAAAAACAAGCAAGGGATACAGTAATCTGCTTTCAACATCAAGTGAGGGGAGACTTTAATGAAATCCACTACGTTTGATCTTAAAGCACTGAGGCTCCATGCAGGTTGCTTTGTTCGGTCTGGAGAGCTCCACTGTACTTATGGACAGTAATTAAGATGGGAGGAAATTGAACAAGAACTGAGTCAGTTATTAAAGTGTAGCCTGTTGATTACAGCAAGACACCTTCCCATGTCGCTGAAATGCTGATGATTGAGTCTCACTTCAGTCAGTGGCACTGCAAGTAAAAGACTTCGATATTAAATTTGATGAATTGGTCACATTTGTTTTTTAATCACTGCTGTCCATTCATTTAATGCTTCAACAGTGATGGCGTGATGAAAAGTGTTTTCTGTTGACACAGTATGGGTCCTGGGCTGTTTTTTTTATTTTTTTTTATTTCTCTTATTAAGAAATTAATTGAATTCAAAATTGGAATTTGGGCACCACTCTGTTTTCCATAAATGTTATTGTTACTTTAAATGCATTTAGTGTGAGTAACCTAAAGAATTAGTCCTCACCTCAATGAGCCATTAAATTGGCTCTTAAGCAAATTTGTGTCAAGTATAAAGGCGATCAGCTCTTATGGAGAGTGCATTGTTAAGCAGTTCTCTTGTAGCTGCTGTCTCACGTCTGTCAAGAGGCTCGAACCTGAACATTCATTGGAAAATTTACAGAGGATGAGTCCAGGCCTTATTTTTTTTTTTAGTTTTTTGCCATCTTTGTATTCCACTTGTGTTTAAATTTTTATGACTTACCTCTCTATGCTTCAATTTACTGTCCAGTGCACACACATACACACACACACACACACACACACACACACACACACACACACACACACACACGCAGGGCCAGCTGGGTCCAAAAAACACAATACTTTTCCCTGCTGTTCAATACGGCTGCATACAGTTTATGATTGCTTGCTACCCGTGTGCAAAATGTTGTTATTTACTATTTTTACTGCCATGAGTTAGATTGTTCAAACATTTTGATGCTTCTTTACTGGATGAATTCAGCTGGGTAATACTTCCTAGTGGTAGTAACAAGTAGAATATGTGGTTTTTTTTGTTTTGTTTTGTTTAAATCTCCATTGTGACTCACTAGACATTATTAATGGAAGAGGTATGTTAACACAAGTGTAAACACAACAGGAAATCCAGCGAAGATGACAGGACGATGTATTAAATATTAAGTCACAATAACATTATCAATAGTGGCCAAGATGAGCGCGAAATATCTGCTACTGTTTGTTGGCAGCAATTTTGCTGGTCTGTTTGCTCGTCTAATTTTTCCAACTGGACACAGCAGAAAACTGACAGTGACGTAACTAAGGATGAGGGATGTGAAAAGACTGTGCTCTCATAACTGACATTGTGAGAACGGTCTTGTTTTACATTTACTCATTTGGCAAACACTTTTATCCAAAGCGACTTAGGAGTGGGAGAAAACACTAAAGCCCCAGTGCAATACTTTACTGTACTTGTGGCGTCTGACAGCTTTGTGAGGACCAAAATGCTGGACCCCACTTGGTTTTTGGGGTTAGGGTTAGAATTGGGTTCCGGAAAGGGTCAGACATTCTTTTGTGATGGTTAATTTTAGGTTTAGCCTTTTGCACCCCATTGTATGTATGTATATATAATATACTGTGCTTACACACTGTGTGAGCTCCATCGTGTGACGGATTAATTGATTTGTACACTGTGAGCATAAAGTTTGCAGCGTCTGGCCGAACAGAAAGGCTGATTAATACGTTTAGAACACGATCAATGAAAAATCCAGAAAAAAAACTCTTTTCTTTTTCTCCTTTCAGCCTGTTACACATTTGATATTTTCTGCACTATTGAATTAAATTAATTATTAAAATGATAAAGTATTAAATTATATAAATCCAATATTGAGCAGTGTGTGTCTCCAGCAGGTCTTCCGCAGAACCTGAAAACTCTATGGCAAATGTTATAGAAAAAGATTTTCATGGGAACTGCTGAACAGTTCTTAAAACATTCCTTGCACCACAGAAATATAAGATGTAGCATGGTCAGTTATTCATTTTCACTAGAGAAAGCTGAATGAAATGGCGTAAAGGAAAAACACTATAACATAAAGTGTTCATTCATAGTTACATACCTGTGTCGCATTAAATGCAGAACTGAATAGTTTGAAGCAGAATTGTCAGATGAGGGCAAAGTATCTTCAAAGTCTGAACGACGCACAACTCAACACACACCTCTGTTTGGCCTTCACCAGCACTGCTTGAGTGTATCCTTATTTCTTCTTCCATCTAACCAGTTTTAATAAAGTGAGACAAAGATGAAAAGAGCGGGACTCTAACTTTTTGAAACAAGAGTCTCCTACGATAAGTAAAGTTAATTATAAGCACAGATATGGGGTTCCTTGCTTAAAGCACTAGCACTGTAATCATTCATGGGTCTTATATCTGTGTCCGTAGTATCATCACTTTCTCATTGAGCTTTTAAAGCCTCCACTGAGCCGTAATCACACAGCGTATTCAGGAATTAAGAAAGTATGCCACATGTCAGGTCAGACTCTTCATGAAATGGCCAGCAGTGTCTTTTATAATTTTACCCCATTCCCACCCTTTCACCCCTCAAGTGCAGCCAACCAAAGATAAAGGCTAAAAATGTTACCAAGCCGGAGGGCTTTGGTGCTCAGGACCCTTAAGTAGGGACATTTATAAATATTACAAAGCAGAGCACCTGTCAGATGATATTTGAATCACTAGCAGACTGAAATCCTTTCCGGGTCAACATGGGAACCAGATATAATTAAATGGCTTCCTATTTCACCAGTTGTCCTTAAGGATAGTATATGTGGGTATTACACCAGCAAGCAGAATGGCTGACTCTGGCATGGGACACTGGCTCTTTAGCTAAAACCATCAATGTGAAAGTCTTAGGGACCATGCATAATCCCTTTATGTTCGCACGGCTCATGTGGTCACTCAGAGTTTAGAGTCGTAATTTCACCACACTCAATTATGTTCTCCAGTTAATTCTGCTCATTCTAAGTCCCAAAGATTAAAAGCAGCGGGGATATGTATGTTTTATATACCACAACATGACATTTTCATTAGTGCGCAAGTGAAACTAAACACATGTAGATGAAGTTACTGATTTCTGTGCTGTTTGAGATTTCCGCTGTTTCTTTTAAAAACATTTGATTGGACCATCTGTATCCCATGATGCATTTGTTATTGATGGGAGTGGTCCCCTTTTAGAATGAGAAAGCCACTAGCATGTACAATATTAACTACAAAATAAATAAGAAATAATGATCAAAATGAATAAATAAGTACAATGTTAAAATTGAAGGAAGACTAGCCCTCTGTGTCCCGGGCAGTGTGGCGGACATTACTGGATGCTTCCCACTGGAAAGACTAGAGAAGCAGCTTATGGCACTCTTAATCAGTGGTGGGGAAGTTAACCACCTACGAAGTTTACATTCAGTGTTACTTGCCAAAACACAATGTGTGTGTCTATGAGGTCTAACAATGCATTTCTTTCCTCATAAAAGAAAGATTAAAAAAAAAAAAAAAAAGTATTCTGTGTAGGCCTATTGTTTAGATCTGTTAGATCTGATTGCTGGCAATCTTCTTCTTCACTGCCTTTGTTTGTGCGTTGCTACGCTTCTTTACTTGTTACTGCCACCATCTATCGATCAGAGGTATACTGTGAAACCCGTGGGTGTGAACATGTCCCATTGACAAAGGCTGGGGCTTGTCAAGGGGAGAGGAGAAAAGCACATGTAGCTGTGAATGTATCAGTGCAATGTATATGCACTTTAGGCTATTTAATAAATGCTACAGCTCCTCACGACCAAAATTCCTGCATCTTCCCTCTGCTTTCCAACTACAGTCCGCAGGATATGAGCCA